ATCGGCATTGTTCTTGGTGCAAGAAAGGTGGTCACAACAAGAAATCTTATCGGTAGACCGAAAATTTGTATGAGATAGATGTTGAGAAATGGGTACGAGTTATTCTACTCCCACTAGGTACCACGAACATGCCTCACACAACTGCCGATAGAAGACATCAACTACTGATTGAAGACAGAATGCCGTTGAAGTACTGATTGAACACATCAACATGCTGATTGTACTCATACTCTATTTTGTCTTCCAAAGAAATGTATAAACCTTTATGTTCATATTAATGAGATTTGTATTGTACTTATGCATGGGATAATGGGAATATATCCAAATCTCATTTCAAGAGTTGAATCTATCAAGTCTCATAAATGGCTCATAATCTTGTACTTATATTAACTGTAGGAATTTAATGTCTGCGCCTAAGACATTAAGGACTTGTTACTGTCTACTTATGGACAGTATTGTATACTTCAACTAGCATTATAAATCAACCCAACACTAAATAAGTGTGATCATGCATTTGATATATCACTAAGAAACAAGATTACACATAGTCAAATGGATTGTCACCAATATTAGGAACAACGCTTAATGACCAAAAGAAGGAATTTTACATGTTTTTTCTTTCCCAAGATCTTAATCATAATAATTACAAAGCATCATAGTCTAACTACTTCCATCTTGATGCATACAGCAGTAGCTTAATCGTCATTTTTAGCGGTAGCTATCGACGTCTTCCTTCAAAACTTCACTCAAATCTTTACCGGAGCATTACAAATTCAATAAATTTGATGACAAATAATCCACAGATGTCCCTGTAAGTGTTTAAACTTAAAGGTAAGCATTTTTAATGTATTAAGTTATGTAAAAAATATCAAAATACTCCCAACATACCCATCATCTTGTTGTACAAATATGGACCACATCGATACAAACTGATATTTTCTAAATTACTGTCTAATTACTGACTAGTTAATGCCCATAAATAGACCTTAATCAGAACCCTCTGTTTTCTGGATCAGTCTCTTCTGATTCGAAAGAAGAAGCCTCCTGCTTGAAGACAAAAGTCTACTGATTGAACACAACAACATATTGATCGTATTCATACATTTATTCTATCTTCAAAAGAGATGCATAGACCTTTATTTTTCATATAATTGGCATGTGATTGTTGCCAGAATGTATGTACAAGATCAAATAAAAAGGTGTAAAATAGTGCATAGCTACTAAAGTAAGTCAAATGAGTAATCACATCTAACATCAACATTATTCCCATGAATTTGAGATCCATGAAATGATTCAAATTGATTTCATTATATTGCTCTTCATTTATAGACAATATATCTTAGAACTATTGAATTGATTTTATTATATTTACCTTTTCTAATAAAATCAGTAAATTAAAATAGATTACCTGACCAGATTGAATCACAATTTTCCTTTTGATGTCCTTTTTATTGGGCCTTTTTGCTTCCAAATTTCTACGAGAGTATTCTTCTCTCTTTTCAGAGCTCTCAACATCTGTATCCTGCAAACTTTTCTTCGTCGGCTTTATTCGTAGTTGATCGACTTGTTGTTCCGTCGTTCTTTTCGATTGCGAATTGGAAGATCTGGAGAAGAATTTTGGTCTGCAAATTCTTCCGTGGAGTTTGCGTTTTGGAAGCTCCGAGCAGCCAGTTTAGTCGTTCGCAAAATTCTAGTGTTATAGTCAGGAGCTTTTTAATCTGGTGGAGCTACGTGATTTAATTAAGGGTATAATAGTCTAAACATATGCACTTGTGTCCTACGCATATTTGGAGTCCTAAATTTGAAAACTTTATATGATTAAGTCTCATTTGTAAAATTTTCCCTTATTTTTTTTCTTTACAACATGTCATATGTGCGATAACATGAAATATGTTTTGTCAAACAGTAGGCAGGAAAAAGTATAAACCAACAGTTGACAACTAGTAGAAGCAAAGCCCAATTCGTGCTGTTCAGTATAAAAAAGGGAATTTATCACAAATAGGCAAAAAAGGGAAATAATATCACTTTTTTCAACTTTTAAAGTTTCTTTCAAAAATATAACAGCGGAGTTTTTCTTTTCAACAATAGACCTTAAGCCTATATACGGTAACTAATCCTCCGGAGATCAGTAGACCCTTGTCATTACTACGTACTCTAAATTGCAAACCCAGATACTCCGTATTAAACTTATACCCCATCACAATTGAAAAAATAAAAGCAATAATAATGATAACTATAGCAAAGATTTTCTCTTTGTAAACATGGTATAATTAAAATGTAAAACTCTAAAAATTATAAAAATTTGAAAAGTTATAAACTCTGAATATTATTAAAAAAATTAATTTATTAAAGGAAAAAATCATAAAAACATACAAAAGTTTAAAAAAAAGGAAAAGGAAAACGTAATGTAAATCCTTAATTTAGTTTTGAAAAATTGTAAAATAGTAATATATATATATATTAAAATAAAGATGGTAAAAACTAAAAATAATAATTTGTAAATCTAAATAATCTAATCGTCAAAATTTTTAATTAAAAATAGGGAGTATAAACTAAAACAAAAAACATATTAAAATAATTAGAAGTTCTTCCAAAAAAAATAGAAGTTTTTAAAAGAGGGAAAAGATATAAAAATTGAAAACAAGATGCATGAAAACTCTAGCAATAAATAAATATAGACAATATTACGGGAAAAAATAAAATACTACAAATTGAGTAAAAAATTAAAGTATTATAGACAATATTGATATAAAAAACGTAAATGGAAAAATAAAAATAAATGAAATGTGGAAAATTCTAAAACAAAATGATTCGTATTTAAAAAATAATACATTTTTTTTTTCATTTTTATGTCTTTTTTAAAGATTTATAAAAGTAATTTCGTCATCATGCCATTTATTGTAATATTTGTTGCATGTGATTTCTTTGTGTTTCTTTTTGTTTATAAATTTGTAAATTTTGTTTTTAATTGTTTATATGTGTTTCTTGTTGTTGTACTTTATAAACCCAATTTATTATTATAGGTGTTTATATGTATGTGTTGGTTTTTTATTTCAAAGTAGAAAAAATAAATTGGAACATAAATAAACAAAAAAACTCAACAATAAATAACAAAAAACATACGATGCAACATAGTGCAACAAAATGCAACATGGTGCAACAAAATGCAACATGATGCAACAAAATGCAACATCGTACAACAAAGTCCAGCAAAATAAAAAGAATGTAAGTAAAACAAACATAAGTGTTGAATGAGTTCATACTTCAAAGTTCAAATTACTCTTTTACATTCATAATCGGAAATAACATAAAAGTAGTGATGGAGCACTATAGAGGCTGAGGCTAGGACTGAAAAAGAACCTAATGAACTATGTGCAACAAAATGCAACAAAATGCAATTCAACAAAAAGAATATAATAACAACAAACACAAGTGTTGAATGAGTTCATACTTCAATTTATTCTTTAACATTCATGATTGGAAGCAACATGAAAGTAGTGATGGGGGTGTAACTCCATAGGCTAGGACTGGAGAAGAAACTAAGCAACTAGAGCTTAGTGATGGTGCTGCCACGGGTGAGGATTTCACTGAAGAAATACGAGATCGATTGGTGAGACTTAGACAAAGATAATCACTTCATATAGTCATTTGTCTTAATGTTGACCATTAGGATGAAATTGCATCTCCCTAATTTCTTCCCGTGGTGAAAATTGTCGGCCTACCTTATTGCCCTTTGTTTTCTACAACTTTTGCCAAAATCCCTGCATTATTGAAAGATATTACATCTGAAATCATCATTGGCCTAATTGTATTACTAAAAGAGATCACAAAGCATGCACTACTAAGAATTTTCCATCGAACTAATTATGCATTATAGAATGTCGAACTAATTTACCATCACAATTGGCCTAACAAAATATTCATGCACATGAATTAGCCAAAATCAGGACCTAAAAAATAAAAATTGATAGAAGATGTTATAGCTAGCAAATTGATACGATGTCAGCATTTACCTCCCATGATGCTAAACTCTTCATATGCTTCAGAAGGATCTCATAATCATTTAGTAACACACTCATAATCATCTAGAGACACACTTATTAAGGAGGTAAGAGGAGAAAACTGCATCCTGAAGGAATAAGGCGGTCACCAAATTTACTCCTAACTGTAAACCAGATCCTTCTTCTTTTCAATCATCTTGAATTTAGAAAAATAAAGCATAAATTTTTATGTAGAATGGCTTCAAGTCAAAATTTGAATGTATATGATTCTAACCTTAAGCGTAAGTTTTAACGCATATGATTCTACAAGTTCTACAAGTCAAAATTTTCAATCTTAGATTCAACCTTAGATTTTGATTAATCTTAGATTCAATCATTAACGTATATGATTCTAACCTTAGATTCAACCTTAGATTTTGATTAAACCTTAGAATTTTCAAGATTAAATTCAACCTTAATTTTAAATAGCTTCTAAGTTTTAAAGTCAAATTTTGATGTAGAATCTTACCTTAGACGTTTCCCTAGGCCAGAAACCAGCCGGCTGAGGGCTGACGGTCACAGATCGGACGCCTTCACAAGCAGGTCGGCAACGAGGCTCCTGGTGTCGCACATTTGCAGATAGCGTCCTAGATCGAACTAGCTCCTCCGCAGGTCGGCGTCGCTCGCTCCTCCGGATAGTATGTTGCTCACGCCTCTTTGTGTTCGAACGATCCTCCACAATCCGACGTCCAAGTAGATCGGTGGTCTACCTTGAGGCCGATAGAGCTTCCAGATTTTTCACCCAAGGCCGATCGGGAATCCCCTGTTTATCTACCGGTTGGCAAAACCGACTAAAAGTGAAATAAGAAAACTAAATTGAAAATTTAAGATTTAAAAATGAAAAGAAAAAGTAGGTGGGCTTTATATGATATAAGGTAGACGAAAGTAGACCTGTCCGGTAATTTCCACTATAAAAAAAGCCCAATTTGTATTGCGGAGGAAGTGGGGAATGGGGATGACTTTAAGCTGAACTTCCTGTGAAACGACTGAAACCGTTAATTAACAGCCGTCAAGAAACAATCCGCCTCCCCAACGACCCATACACAGAAGAGGGAAAACAGCAAGAACTGCCTAGAGATAGAAAGAGAGAGACAAAGTTGGTCTGATCAAGAAAAGCCGAGGAAAGAAACATGGGAATACCCGAACCCGGCAGTTATATGCCGCTGAAAGATCTTAAAATGGAAATTAAGGACGGTGAAGGAAGAGGAGCAAATGGAGGTTTTACTCTGTCTTTCTGGCTTTACCTAAACTGCGCCACTCCTCTCCCCTCCACGGTTCTTCTTCAGGTTCTTCTTCAGATTTCTTAACTTCCCTAATCTTTTCTAGATGCTTGTATGTGCAAAATCTGTAAATGTATGCACCTTAGTTATAAGGTTCATGCTTAAGGTTCGAAATTGTAGGATTAAGTGTTTACATATGTCTGCTATTATATAATTTGATTCGCAAACTAAAATGATGGGATATGTAGTTAGCATTAATGGGTTGTTTCTTAAGTTCTTCTTTAAGAGAATTTTTTTTTTAAAATATAAAAAGAGATTCTGGATGATATTAAATTTCTAGACTTTTCTGGTGGTGGTGGGTAATTTCTAAAGATTAGGTATTTATGTGATAGTACGTACTGCCAAGTCTGCAACTTCAGAATTTTGTAAATAATTGGAAACCTGCTAGTAATGATCCATTGCTAAGTTGTTTAGAAGTGGTATGGCTGAATGTGAATCTGTGTGTGGACTCTAAATGCTGTGAAGAATGGAGACTTAATGCTTTAATGATACATTATGGACTGTTCATCATATATTAGAAAGTTTGAATCTTGTTATATTAAAAAATAATGGAGAAGGGGAGGGGGGCGTACTTCAAAGCAACATATATTGAATTCATTAAAGCCCTCTAATTTTCAGTATACATTTGAAATTTTTTCTTCAACTTATGTCCATATGTTCCAGAAAACCTTTTTTTTTAAGATCTTGGGAGCAAGAATCACAGTTTTATGCTTCTTCCTTGTTGAAACTTGATAAAATTCATATTTCTTGCTATGCAGAAGCACCCAGATAATGCTTTCAGTGCTCCGTTCCTTATATTAGATGAATGGAATGGAATAATGCTTTTTCCATTGTTTTTCCTTCACCAAGAGGCTTCAAGCCCTTCTAATGCTCTTTGTTGGAAGCCTATTCCTAGTGCATCAAACAAGAGTAGATTCCCTTTGATGAAGTGGGTTCATATTGATTGTGAGGTATGCATAATATCTTACAACGTGTACTGAAAAAAGATTATTTTTATTGCTGACCTCTTTTTCTTTCATGCACTCCATATTTTGATGTTATTTTCTTCACACATTTTCATCCTATATTTCCTCATTCAAATATTTTTTCTCAGATCTCACAAGTTTCTCTGAGACTTCACATTGACGGGGAGATTGTTGGAGAGAGACAGTTGTTGACTTCTTCACCCATTAACAGTGGTTCGCATTCTGATGTCTCGGAAATGGTATCCCACTGTTGCATACAGGGGAATGATGGTGGGCTGCAAGGATACGTGTATGGCGTAGAACTCTTCAGCCAATTGTCTTCTATTCAAAACCATTCCTTTAAGGTTATTTATGAATTTAAATAGTGTTTTTTCCATTCCTGTTGGTGTTGTCCTTGCTCACATATCTCATGTTTGCAGGACAGCCCGCTACAACTATCCATTGATAGTTCTAGTGCCTGTGAAATTGACGAAGGCGTTGATGGTGTTTGGAACATTGTTGGCGGAAAGGTTAAGAAGATGATTATGTTTCTCTTCTGCCACTACCTTTTCTTCTCCTTATTGTAATACTATAGAGAAAACATTTCATTGCGAGTAAAACATATCGTTCTTGTTTTACCCATACCTTTCATTTTTTCCATTTTGGTGCACAACTATGATTTCACGTCCCTTTTGATCCTTTCTATTCACTTGTTTGGTAAAAATTATTCAGGGGTTTTATGGAACTTTACGGAAGTTGACCCCATAAGTGTTTCGAAGGACCATAAGTGATAAGGCACTGGTAGTAATCAAGCAAGAACAATAACAGATCCAGAGAAATGAAGCAGAAAAGAAGTAGAAGCGTGTTTATTGAATAGCGAAGAACCGAAATAGGTATACAATGAATCAGTGATGGACGATTCGAGATGCCCAGTCTCCAAAGTCCAAGTCCAAACCAAATAACAGCCTGCCTATTTTAGCTGACTCCCCTTCTATTTATAGTCCTTATCCACGCAGGGATAAAAGGAACTATTAACTAATAATAGACTTTTTATCCTTTCTATTATACTCTTTATTGAATAGGCCCACTAATTATTTAATGAATAGGCCCAATCATTACTTATTCCTATCAATACTCCCCCCCTAAACAACCACCTTGTCCTCAAGGTGGGTGATAGGAGTCAGCCATGATCTCCCACTTGTACTTCTTTCTTGCACTTCTCCCTTCCCAATACAGTGTGGATTTTTGTATCCCTATCAGCAGCATTGGACCTTTAATCCTCACTTCCTCAGACCAGTATTTCTCTAAGGCATTCCCAGCGTTTTCATAGAGCTCCTTGTTGTCCCGAATCTGGAATTTAGCAGTCTTGTGTAGTCCTTCAAGATATGACCCTAGCTCTTTGATTTCAGCTGCTACACTCCTTGAAAATCTAGTCTCCCTGGTACTGATACGATCAACATGAATATCCAAGAACTGATCAATGCTAATGGCAGATTCCATTTCAGATTTCTTTAAGAAGGCTTTCCAATAAGAACCTTGTAATCCACAAATGATAGGTGCACACAAGGATATGAATGGTGCAGAACCTGCTGCTATTTGGGGTCTGAAAAAAAAACTGGCATAAGGAAATTCTGCCAAAATATCTTCCCTGATATGATCCTTCTGTTGTCCTTCCTTCCTTTCCTCAATTCTGCCTTCACAGGACACAGGGTATCCATCCCCAGTATCCTGTATGATCTGTACCATGGTTTGCAGTGATTCTTCAGTCGAGTTAAACTGTGGATCTCCTTGAATGACCTGATTTGTTCCAAACTGCTGCCACTTTATACTTTGTTTCTGAAAGTTAACTTCCACATCCCCCAAGCTGGTTAGCCATTCCATGCCAAGAACTAAGTCAGCTCCTCCCAACTCCATTATATAAAATTTTTGCTGAATAACAGTGCCTTGCATATTTAAAATTAATTTTTCACATTTGCCATTATTGAATACCACATCTCCATTGCCAGTCTGCACTTTGTAGCCAGAAGTGGTATGATAAGGTAAACTTATATGCCCAACCAGTTTCTGAGATATGAAATTGTGTGAAGCTCCACTGTCAATCAGAACATCTACTATCTTCTCTCCCTCAACCCATTTCAGAATCCCTTGTACCTTAAAAGCCCTCATAGAAGGTGTTCCTTCTTGGTTCATGAAGGATAATTGCATTGATTTGGACTCCATAGTAACTTCTTCCTCCTCAGAACTTTCAGAATCCTTATCATGCTCCTTCTCTCCATCTGAATCTTCAACCATCATTAGCTTATAATTTTTCAGTTTGCAATTGTGCTCTTTGCTCCACTTCTCCCCACATTTAAAGCACAGTCCCTTCCTACTCCTTTCCTGAAACTCTTCCTGGGATAACTGAGGACCTACCTTTCTGATTTCTGAATTGTTTATTTCAGTCACCTTCTTTCCCATCTTCTCAAACCAAGAATTGAAATCCATGCTTTCAGCTGCACCTTTGCCATTATTGTTGGACCCCGAGTTCCCTATTTTTGCTTTAAATCCATCCACCCAAGTCTGATGTTTGGTAGCACTAGGTCCCTTTTCCTTCCAAGTTACTTTATCTTCACCATTAGTCTTCAGATAGATAGCTTCGTTTCTAGTTTCAACCAGAAGGGCCATATCCATGATGTCATTCAAAGCAGTGGAATTATGCAGTTTGAGTTCAGCTTTGATCTCATTCTTAAGGCCGTTAAGGAAAATTCCCTTCAATATCTCCATGTCAACATTGATTTGGGGAGCTATCACCAGTTCGAACTCATCCCTGTAATCCCTTACAGTGCCAGTCTGTTTCAGGCTAAGCATCGGCCCATATGGATTCTGAATTAAGTCTGGCTGAAACCTGCGAACGATAGAAGTCTTCAGATTCTCCCACGTCCTCTTTTCATTCTGGTGTTCCCACCATATAAACCAGTTGATAGCTCTGCCTTCCATAGCCACTACTGCAGCTTCCACTTGTTCTTCTTCATTAATATTGTTCAGACGAAAATACCTTTCCATCCTTACAATCCAACTGTAAGCACCTTCTCCATCAAACACAGGCAAATCAATTTTTCTACCCGTATATACTGGAAATCGATACATATCATCTGGCCTTCTGTGATTTGGTATAAGCGACAACACATGATTACCAACAGGGGGATTTTGGATATGCGACAAGTTCGGATTACCTCCAGAAGTAGTTGGGCTGCGAGAAGATCGCAGATGATGTCGAGGTTGAGATCGTGATCTCTCTCTGGTCCGCAGCTGCTCATTCATCGCGGCCATGGATGCCGCCAGATTTTCCATCGCCAGCCGCTGATCATTCATCGCTGATCGGAGTTCCTGCTGCACCTCCAATAATTTCCGATCCTGTTCCTCTCGCATCTCAGCCAGATTCCGCTCCAAGTTATCCACGCGTATATCCATCTTCGCTCTGGTTCGTACCATTCACCACTGCTACAGACTTTGTTACCTTCGTATCACAGATCCGATCTCCAGGATCAGACGGCTCTGATACCAATGATAAGGCACTGGTAGTAATCAAGCAAGAACAATAACAGATCCAGAGAAATGAAGCAGAAAAGAAGTAGAAGCGTGTTTATTGAATAGCGAAGAACCGAAATAGGTATACAATGAATCAGTGATGGACGATTCGAGATGCCCAGTCTCCAAAGTCCAAGTCCAAACCAAATAACAGCCTGCCTATTTTAGCTGACTCCCCTTCTATTTATAGTCCTTATCCACGCAGGGATAAAAGGAACTATTAACTAATAATAGACTTTTTATCCTTTCTATTATACTCTTTATTGAATAGGCCCACTAATTATTTAATGAATAGGCCCAATCATTACTTATTCCTATCAATAAGTGATAAAAATATCTATGTATGTGTGCCAAAAGTGGAATAGTGGATAAATGAAAGTCTGGGACCAACTGCACGAGTTACCTAATAGCTGTGTGACCAAACTGGAATGTTTTCTATAGATATGTCAATTTTAGATTACCTATTCTTGTGAACTGATTTTCAGTGAAAAAGTGTTCAGTTAACATACTTGATGTCTTGATATAGTTGCTTATATTGTAATGATTTTCCATGAGTGAAATCATTGGCAATTCACTCTGGCAGGCTTACTACCACTAATCTCTTCTTAGTTTTTGCTTATGCTTTACTAATTACTGTTTGATTTTTTTTTGAAAAAACACAGGCATCCTGTCGCAAGAAGTTTTCGCTAGACGTGATGCTACTTGATGCTCTTGGAAGGCCAGTAAACAAAGAAGTGGAGGTTTGACCTTTGCCTTGTATTGTACAGTTAACTTGGTAAATTCGAAAGTGCTTGTGGTTGATGCTTATGCATGTGCTACCAATATTATCAGGTGGCTGCTACACTTGTGTATGCCGATACTATCACACCTGTGGAGAAATCATCTGACGCTGAAGCTCCACTCCTCACAATGTATGACGGAGTCGAATCTGCTTCAGCTGAGAGGCCGAGCAAGCTGATTCAGGGGCGTGCTTCCTTTAAGCTTAAAATATCTCAGGTTTTGCTGAATACTTTCTTTCACTTACAATTCCTTTTAGGCTTTCACTGAGTAACAATATGAAATTATGATGTTTCAATTAGCATAGGAGTAATAGGGTGACAGGGAAGTGTTTGATATTAGAGAAACAGGAAGGAAATTGGTGACACATAAGTGTTTTTTTAAGAAAAAGTGAAATGATTATATTTATCAAATGACTAAATTATCCTTTATTAAATACATAAACAAAACATAGAGAAAGGATAAATGTGCAAAAAAACAAGGGAAAAAAATCCTTTCTTTGCACCTCTAAGCAGGGAAGGATGTTACGTGGCCCCTTATGGGAGTTATGGGTTTCTATTTCTTCTATTTGACCCTCATACCATTTACCATACAAACATAATTCTTTCTCTCTCGTCCAATGGTCCTCTCCTATTTTTTTTCTTCCGTAGGTCACTTGTTCCAAACAGGCACTAAAGAATGAATTTAAAATAATGAAAACTATATGACAAACAAAAACAATAGACTAAGTTGTGGTTTTTAATATGCACTGATCATAGTGATATTTGCAAAGTGACTCTGGTGACCTGAGTGATGTTCAATTTTACATTGCAGTAGCCATGGTGGTACTTTCACAGTGATGGTAGTCAGTATGTAGCCATATTTTTATCCATCAGTTCTAATATAGTAATATTATAAAACCCCATGAGTTTGCTACCTCAAAACTCCTGAGATTAGAGCTGTCATTTGAGACAGCATCTCTCGGCATTAACTGTTCATGCTGAGTACCCTTGATGCAGTTTTGTAACAAGAAGAAGATCATGAGTGTAATATATGTTCAGAAATAATGTTTGTTTTGTTTAATGATATCATAAAGCATCTAATGATTATTAGCTTTTCCTCTCGAATGCAGCTCTCTTCCAAGTGTAGTAATAGGCTCTTCCGCATTAAGTTTGATGTTCAAAAGATGGGAAGATTTCCTTTCCTTGAGGCCTTCTCCGTGCCAATTCGCTGTGTGTCTAGGAATCGTCCCGCAAGGTCATCCTCTGTTACATGGAGAAAGTCACCACCTTCTATCCATTCATTTAATAGACCTCAATCTCCTGGCTTGGATGCTGGATCATCTGACGTTCTCTATAATATCATTCATGAAGCAAAGCAGAGTCCTTCATCGAAACGGGTCAAATTAGGGCAAGAGAGATCACTCCCAGTTTTGATGGGTGGTTGTATGTTGAAGGAAGCTGATTTGGATTCTAAATCTCATGCCCGCACTACTACTAATGAGGTAGCTTTTAAATCTCTTTTCTTAATTGTCTATCCTTAATTTCATTGTTGTCGTTATGCCATCATGCATAACACATGCGTTTTGTACTTTTTGTTTTCTCACTATTGTGTCAATGATTACACCTGTCTTTGAACTTTCCATTTTTCCTTCTGGCTGTTGTAAAAACACTTTGGTGCCTTTTCCCCCAATATTTCTACATACAATCCTCCCACTATTATGACAATGACACTTTGGGTAATTGGAGTGCCAAGGAGTGTCATTGCCACAATAATTAGAGGAATATAAGTGGACAAGTTCAAAGAAGGGCATAAAAGTGTCTCATTCACAATAGTCATAGACTCAGGACTAAAAGTGGAAAAATAAAAAACGGGTACTAATTGAGAGGGACATGGAGCGAAAAAAATCTTTGTAACACATCAGAATCTGAATATTTTGTTGAACTATCTAAAACTAGGACAATGCTGCTGCATGTACGAATGCTGTTCTGGAGAGGGCAGATAGTCATGATGATGAAGTAGAGGACTTCTCATCTGATTCAGAGAACAGTGAAGCAGCAGACTCAGTTCCATGCAAATTTTCTGCCCACATAGGTCCAATTTCGGATCTGGTTATTTTCAGATATTGCATTGGTGGCCTCAGTGAGAGGTGTCTTCTGCTCAAGGAAATTGCATTGTCTTATGAAGAAGAAGCACTTTGTAGCTTTTCCGAGCAGGTCTCTTTGTTCACCGGATGTACTCATCACAGGTATGCCTGTCTTCTGCCTACAAACTATTGGCTTTATAAATGACACCTACACTTCTAGTTTCATTGATCACATTTTCCCCAAATTTCTTCTTTTTATAAATAAATTTTTAACTCCTATATCACATGTCGACTCGTATTAGCCGACCCCATACTCTTTTGGGATTAGAGCTTGGATGTTGTTGTTGTTTGTTTGATTTCTTCTTTTTAAATATCAAGTGTGCATGAAAATAATACAAATATTTTTATAATTGAGAGCAGAGTGGAATTATAATGAATACAAAAAACCAGAGAGTTTGAGTTTTCCTTTCAATTCTTCAAATTCTCCTTACTCCATAGTGATCAACAGTTTTACAAATTCTCCTTACTCCATAGTGATCAACAGTTTTACCAGCTCTTGACAAATGCAAATACCCTTGACCTCATTTTTCATTTGAAGAAGGGCACATTTTTTTCAGGCATCAAATATTAATCTCCAAGAGGCTAATTGACATTGGCATCAAGTGTTGGAACTTGATATCAAAAAATAGCCAAAATGTCCTCTGGGAGGATCTGGTATCTGAGCTTCAGGACCATTTCATGACGTTAACATTCTGCAGAACAAGATGCTTAACAAAACAGGTATAATGAGCTCCTCCACCCTGATTCTTTTTCCCCCAATTTGTAAAAAAGAGATATTATTGTTATTAATTAGAAATAATGACACATATATGACTAAATAAAATAATGGATAGAACTTAAAAGTATACTTTATAGTGCAGTGAACATAGCAGTATTTTGACCACGTTGATGTTCCATTTTACTATGGAATGACTATGGTCGTCAATGACTATATGGGCCATTTCGTAAAACAAAAATTCACGTTTTAGAATGACTATATAGCGACTTGTGCTTTTGGAATGACTATATGGCCCGTTTAGTAAAACATAATTCACGAGTTTTGTTTTAGTACACTATTATGGGAAAGACCCCTAATAAAATAATAATAACTATTATTATTATTATTATTATTATTATTCAATTTTTGTCTATCCCTCTCGCTTTTTGGCCTGAAGGCGGCCAATTTGAACCCTAACTGCAATGCTGAAAGCTCATTCATACCGCCAGGATTTCGAGGTCTTAAGGAGAGTAGCTGGTTGTCAAGACACAACAGTCTCCCAAGAAAACTTTGAAAAGATGTGGTGCTGGTTGTACCCCGTAGCTTTTACATTGTCCCAGAAACAGATAAACCCATTGTGGAGCTCCCTGTCTCCCAAATGGATAGAAGGATTCATCACAAAGGAAGAAGCTGAGTCTTCCCTTCAACAAGAAGGCCCTGGAGGAGGTCTTATGCCCCCGGGCACTTTCATATTGAGGTTTCCTATATCAAGGAGCTGGCCCCACCCAGATGCCGGCACTCTACTCGTCACTTATGTTGGTACTGACTATACCATTCACCACCGGATCTTGTCTCATGATTATGCCTACAGGTACATACATGAACATATATACTCATCACGCACTCTCTTCTTTTTTCATCATTCATTATCATCATCATTACCCCAGTGCCGCAAAGGCTCCCACCTTCGGTGGGCTAAGGGAGGGTCGGATGTACACAGTCTTACCCTTGTACTAAAGCACAAAGAGACTGTTTCCGGATGATCCATAGTGAAATCGCGTCGAAAGTTCCATGGACTGACTACTGCTTCATAACAAAGAAGCGCAGACAGTTTAGTGAGCCATTTTACTTTATTCCATCATATTCCCAAGCCAAAAAAATAGTGAGTTTTTGGCTCCATTGCAAATGATGGAAAAGCTCTCTCCTAATTTTAGAAAATTTAGTTACCTACTATGAGTCTTCTCTTTGTATTGTATTTATAGTAGTACAAAAGAAATGATGGATAGACCTATACAAGAAATGCTGCTTGATGAACCCGAATTGTCCCGGTTGGGAAGGTGAGATCCTCAACCTTTTCCCGTTGATTCTTTCTCATTTAATGATTTATTTCTTTTGCATTTGATCAAAGATTAATAAAATGCAGGTCGGTAAGAAGGCAATAGTTGGTCAAAAATAAATTTGGTGTATATATAGCTGTCACAAGGAACCGAGGGGATTATGTCTACATACAGAATTCTTCTTATGTCATCCTCTCCAGTTGTGGCTTTAGTTAGGAGTGAAAATTTGGGCGACAAGTGTGGCCAGATTGGAAGAGGGAAGTTAAAGCAGATTCATTGTCTATCTTTTGGCTCTAAGGGTGACAATTTTTTTCATATATATATATATATACATATATACATACACATCGGCACAAGAGGGATTCTCTCTTCGAGTTCATATGAATGAAAGTGGATCTTGCTTATAAAAATGGACCACATGTTTATGAGGTGCCTCCATCTTGCTCAACCCCCTTGCGAACGATATTACTGTGAGCATGACGTTGGCCTGTTCATTATATTTTCAACCTCGAATCCCCTATACTCTATAAATATATTGACACTACCCTCATCCTTTCCACCTCTCTTGTTGCTTCCCAAACGCGATATGTATGGCACACCCGGATATACCATCCTCATTGTACAAGCAATGACAATTTTGAAATTTCTAAAAACTTCAGGGTTAACCAGTAAGCTCTTTTGGGGTTTCATTCTCTTTTGTAGGTATCTTTCTTGACTATTCTTTATCAGTTGTCATACTCTCTTATAGTGATGGACCCGGGCCGGGTCCGGGTCCGGGTCCGGGTCGGGCCTAGGCCCGGGCGGGCCGGCGGTTCAGGATTGGTGGACCCGGGACCGGCCCGGGTAGCCACCGGGTCCGGGCCGGGCCTCCGGTTTGGGTATTTTTTTTTTGCTTTCCTAAGTCCTAACCCCCCACCCCCCCAAACCCCCCAAACCCTTCCTAACCATCAGGCCCAACCCGGGTGGAACCCCAAAAAAATGATAAAAAAAAAAACAAAATCAATTTGCCCCGGACCCGGCCCCGACCCGGCCGGGCCGGTTCACCAAATGTGAGACCCGAGCCCGGACCCGCCCTCCCCCCGGGCCTAGGCCCGACCCGGACCCGAGAACCGGGCCGGTCCCAGTCCCGCACAGTAGCGAGCCGGGTGGCCCGACCCGAGTCCATCAGTCCACCACTACTCTCTGATTTTTCTGCATTTCTCAGAGAGACTAGCATCGTCTCTTCGGCCAATTCACTAACCCCTTCTTTAACGGCATCTTATGCCCTTCATTAAAATGCACACCAAATGTTTGCTTTAATTACTCACTTGCACTGCCCTTACATGATCATCGTTATACATTGGAATATTTTAAATTTTATGCCCAAGCATTTAGCTAATACATTTTTTTACTTCAGCTTGTAGAGTTGTAGAGTTCGATTACTATTGATATTCTGCTGTTATTCTTAGCTATGCAGTTTTTGTTTTCTCAAATTGTTGTTTAGTTCAATTCCATACAAGCCTTAATTATTTTCCGCGCAGAGCGTATTCATTCTACTAAACAATTAATTCTGTAATGTTTAGTCAATAATTTTGCTATTAATCAATTATTTAATCAATCGATCTTGCTTAAAGCATTCATCTCGCTTTTCAAATTTCCGTGTTATGCAATAGTATATAATGGGGTAAAGGGTCAAATAGGTACATGAACTAACTTAAAGAGTTCAATTAACCCCTTATATAGGAGGTTCTGCCCGGCCGTCGCCAATTGGGGCAGTTCCCGGTTGAATTTTTTGATAAAATTTTTTGAGCATCTTCTTCATTAAGTTTAGTTTACCCGTATCAAATTTCAGCTAAAAATTAAATCAGGAAGGCAGTCAAATGATTTTCCAAAATGTATTGTGTTGTTTAACTGCGCAGTTATCTTCAAAAAATCATTTGACTGCCTTCCCGGTTGAATTTTTAGCTGAATTTTGGTATGGGTAAACTAGACTTAATGAAGAAGATGCTCAAAATATTTCATCAAAAAATTCCACCGAGAACCGCCCCAATTGGCGACAGCCGGGCAAAACCTCCTATATAAGGGGCTAATTGAACACTTTAAGTTAGTTCATGTACCTATTTGACCCTTTAGCCTATATAATGTGTTCTATTTTAGTTTTGGTTTTGACTTTCTAAATCTCTCTAATTCAGGATGATCATACATTTATTATGATATGATAATTTATGCATTATGCTTAGTTGGTTTTTCCAGAGTTTTTGCACACAAATTTGTAGGACAAAACGTACCCATAATATTTGGTTACAGAATTGGTTACGAATCTAATATATTCATCTTTGTTAAAACTATTGACAATGCAATTGAATAAATAGTTCATTTTAGTAATTTGGCTTGAAATAAGTCTAGTATGTGAGAAGTTTTTGTAGTCCTCAGAATGTCTAAATACAATATTACGGAGTATTTTCTTATTTGGGAAATTGTTATCATTTTACTTTACGACCATCAAATACTCCCTCCGTCTCATTTTACCTGTCCTACTTTCCTTTTTGGGCTGTCCCAAAATAAGTGTCTACTTTCCTCTTTTGGAAAGAAATATTTGGTCTACACCATTTCACTTTATTATACTCAAACTTCAACCATAACTTTTACTTTTTCAACCACTTCATTAATTACCGTGCCAAGTCAAACTAAGACACATAAAATGGGACGGAGGTAGTAATAATTATTGTACAGTACCAAACGTGTATTTTGCAATAATATTTAGCATAAGTACAATGACATTTCAGTAAGAGACAGGAGTGAGTAAATTCTATTAAAAATGAGTATAATATTAAAAAGTCATGTAAATTAGTTAAGATTACCAAATGAGGAGGAAGCCTAAAAATGAAGTCCAAAAAATGAAGTACTACCTATCAAAAGTTCTTCAAAAATCAAAATACTCAAACCATGACTGTTCGAACAGAAATAAAAATAAGTACTATGAAAGAAAAAAATAATACAAAAATAAAAACTTTCCCCAAATTTCTTTCTCGCACGGAGGTGGTTCCGGAAGAGGGCGAGCTGTTGTTGTATGGTAGAAGAGAATTTCAACCCTTGGAAAGTTTGTCTGAAACCTTATCCTTCTTGCGCTTGCCAATTTGCTCTGGCCAATTTGTCATTGAAATCCATGTCCGAAGTGCGGAAGAAAACTCTGTCATGTTGTCTTGTGTTTTTACGCCCAAAAAAACCCAAGCCGCACCCCACCGCGCTTGCATTCCACTCACATTCCGAAACTTCAATCATGAAACTCTCATTCCACGAAAAACCCAACCGCACGAACAAAGCTCGATCGACGGAACAAAAACCCTAATTAGTGTAGGGAGACGGACGCTCATCGAAAGAATCGATAGTGAAGAAAAAAACCCTAGTGGCGGAAATCCACCCTAGCGTGAAAAAAGTCTTGACTTGCGAGATTCCAAGCTATCATACATAATACTTAAAAAGGTCAATAGAAAATTGAGTAACATTATCAAGGAACCTGAAAGACAAAAATGCCCCTCCATTAACAACTCTGTTGACCTTCAACATATTCCCGATTGATGTCATTTCTGTCTTTTCATATGGGGTTGGGGATACAAAAACAAAGATTTTTAAAAACGAAGTGCACAGTCCAATTTAAACAATAATATGAGGTGCCAAACTCAAATCACCCTTTTTATTAGTATGTTTTTTCACATATTATAATGTCTATTTTTGGGTGGGTGAGTTTCAAGCACTTGGCCTTTTTTGAGAGTATCACAGTACTGAAAACATTTTAATTTCGTCCCCATCCATAGAAGAAGAAGACAGCCAATTTTCGTATCACATGTGAAAACGCCACCATCACCAATAATTCAATTCATGCTCAACCACTATGGTCTGAAAAACAATTAAACCTCTGAACCGTAAATCTTCTTCTTCTTCATCATTATCTTCAAGATGAAATATTTGGCGACGAAATAATGGTTCCCTTCAAACGCACAATTAGCTGAAGACAGGTAATCATACAAGCTTCTACTTACTCGTAGAATCGATCGAATGGGAAATGCTCAATTTCTCGCATTGTACATCACAGTATGCGTACTTGCATTCGTGGCCTCAAAGATTGTAATTGCGGTTCTATGCTATCGCAGATGGAAGAGGAAACATATGGAGATCCACCACAGTTTCTCAGGTTGTAACAATGGTGTTTCTACCGTCCCCAATTTTTACTTCCAATAATAATCTCTTCCTTTTAAATTACAATTTTTAACCCTCTATAAGTACATATGCAGGCGAAGGCGGGAGGCTGGTGATGTTCCGAACGGAGAAGACGAAGACATTGAAGTCGGAGGCGCTGGTGAAGCAGTTGAGGAAGCTGAGCAACAAAGACGTGATCGGATCAGGAGGTTATGGGACAGTTTATAAACTGACGATGATGGATGGATGTGTGAGTTTTGCAGTGAAAAGGCTGAACAGGATGAGTGCAGAGCAGGACAAAGGGTTTGAAAGGGAATTGGATACCATGGCTGACATAAAACACAGGAACATTGTCACACTTCATGGATATTATACTTCCCCTCACTATAACCTTCTCATCTATGAGCTTATGCCTAATGGGTGCTTGGATAAACTCCTTCATGGTATTGTTTTCACCTCATCTATTTTTATTTATTTAAATATCTTTCTTAAGATTATGATAATAGTGTTAAATCATCCCACATTGCAGAGACTAAAATGGATATACAAACTCATTTACTCCATATAATGTTTTGGACTAGAACGCCTGATCATAATATGGTATATGAATCTATTATGCTCAAACGAGCCGAATAAAACTAAAAAGAGTATATGGATATCAAGATAGTTCTGCTTTAATTAGCCATCATCATGTGGGCATGATCGAATCATTCTATATTGGTTACGGCCTAATGTAAATACGAAAACTCAAATCCTGTGGGGAGTGCTAAGTCAAGATAGGTCTGCTCTAAATAGTCCTTGTTTGGTTGATGTACTTTACTTTATCAGGCATGAAAATGTCCAAACAGTATAGGTCTTCTTCCTACTTATCTTTAATAGTAATGATGTTGCAGATAGAAGTTCAAACAAGGAGTTGGTTTTGGACTGGGAATCAAGATTGAGAATAGCAGTGGGAGCTGCAAGAGGGTTATCATATCTGCACCATGATTGCATTCCTCACATAATCCACCGGGACATCAAGTCCAGCAACATATTGTTGGATCAGAACATGGAGGCTCAGGTGTCTGATTTTGGACTCGCCACACTCATGGAACCAAACAAAACTCATGTTTCAACTCTAGTTGCAGGAACCTTTGGCTACTTGCCCCCTGGTATAAATGCATCTTATAATACTCCGTAATTATTCTCTCCGTCCCAAATGTTTGATACATTTGGATTTAACACAAGCTTTATGAAAAGAAGAAATAGTTTGTTATTTACGGTTGTAACTTAAGGTGAATTAATATATAAAAGATTAAGTCTTCTTCTTCTTCATTACCCCAGTGCCACAAAGGCTCCCACCTACGGTGGGGTAGGGGGGTCGGATGTACGCAGTCTTACCTCTTTACTATATAAAATATTAAGTATGATGATTAAAATTTGTTGAGTTCATATTCGGAAAATGGTCTTATTTTTGGGACATATGAACGAGGAAAGTGTGCAACAAAATGAGACAG